AGCCAAGGAGATAGTGAGAAACTTTCCTACTTGTTCCTTTTATAATCAGACTCCATTGCCAATCCTAGATTGGCAATCTAGGATTGTAGATTGTAATCCTAAGGGCATTCAGAGAAATGAGGTTTGGCAGATGGATGTCTTTCACTTTGCAGAATTTGGAAATTTGAAATATGTGCATCATATGATAGACACATTCTCAGGGTTCCAATGGGCTACTGCTCTCAACTCTGAAAAAGCTCATTCTGTTATTACACACCTGCTAGAAGTGATGGCAGTTATGGGTATACCTTCACAAATAAAAACTGACAATGCTCCAGCATATGTCTCCACAAGTTTTTCCAATATTATTACATAAAGCATGTTACCGGTATACCACACAATCCTACAGGACAAGCAGTGGTTGAGAGATCTAATAGAACACTAATGGAGATGCTCCATAGACAGGTTTGGAAAACTAAACCCCCAAACATAGATTGCATAATACTTTATTAGCACTAAACTTTCTTAATGCCAGTAAGAAAGGATAAACAGTGGCGGAAAGACACTGTACTATGGAAAATACTGCTGAACTGAATCAGCCAGTATACTTCAAAGATGTATTAACCTCTGTATGGAAACCAGGACATGTGTTGTGGGAGGGTAGGGGTTTTGCATTGGTTTCCACAGGAGAAGAAAAACTTTGGATACCATCAAAGTTGATCAAGATTCGAGTTGAAAATGAAAATCCTCTTGATGAGGAGAACTGACAGGTATTCTATTAAGGTATAACTCATAAACTGAATAGACACCTCCCAAAGGAAAGGGAAGTGATTTGCTTTTATCTTTACAGGAAAACTCATCTCCAGATGTCAAAGTACACTGCATGGGTAGATACTTAAGAAGAGAATGTAGTTATAACCATAAAAAAAAGGGAACATGCCATGAGGTAAACTTTACAGCTATCTGTCAGAGAAATCTATTTCTCTTTATTTCCTAGTCCCTATTCAATTATACCAATGCTGGATTTAGAGGTGGATTTGGTTTTCCTCCTCTAAAATCCAAGAACGTTTTCTTTTTTCACTAAACTTTAGAGTTTCTGTATTGTACCAAGAAGCCAATTAATGTAATACAGAATAAGAGAAGAATTTGGGGACTGTCTTTGTCTTTCTTGGCTCTTTCCTTCAAGGTGTATACCCTTTCATAATTGTTATTTTCCCATGGTTGCCTTTCCAAGTAGGCAAACATATGCAACCAAACACTTCTCTGCTAACACTTATGTTTGATTCCCACACAGCCAATGAAGACCTGACTGACAGCAATCCCTGGATGCTCCAGAAAGAAATTGGGTCATACCTCCTCAACTGCAATGGATCCAACTTACTCTGTTTCAACTGACACTCCAACCAGAGCTTTGGGTAATGACTTTAATCAAGACAAGGATTTCACCCTAGATCTTCAATCAAACAAATCCCATCTAACCTGGACTGGTTACAATCCATTCAAGACTTTCACTATACCAACAATTTCTGCCTACAGGACCCCACAAGGCTATCACCATCCCACTTCAGCAGGAAGTATCTTGGAGGATGCTATACCCCCTTTCCACAATCGTTGTCACTTAGCATAGTGTATACCTACTTAGGGATAACTTCCTATTTTTTATGGTTGGGATTGGAAAGAGGTGTTCAGGCTTGGACACCTCCTTCAGATGACTTTAGGGTGTAGTTAAAATAGACATAGTTAGAATGTGACACAAGCAGATTGTTGTGTCTTCTTATATTTCACCTTTATGATTGTTAATTTTGGATACTTTACACTGTTAAGTTTTAATCCTCTCTTAGATTAAAAGGGAAATTGTAGGGAGACACCATAACCATGCCTCCTAAGGACTGGCTACAGGTGTGCCCCACCGTGCCCGTCAGGGTGTGGTCAAGGTGATGTCAGGGTGACGTGGGAGAGGTTTTAAAGGGACGGACAAGGCACATGGGAGCTCTCTTGCCTTGCTGCTTTGGCACGCTCTGGCTTGCTCTTGGATGGTGTTTATCTATTAAAAGTTATCCTAACATTACAGATCTCGTATCAGTTCTTCACCACTTTAACCAACCCCTGTTTCCCCCCTTTCCCCTTCTCTATTTCCCCACATCCCACACTCTCACACCCCCATCCACTCCCCAGAGATGTAAGGCATTCCTTGGGGAGTTAACAAAGTCTGGAATATCAAGTTGAGGCAGGACCAAGTAGTTCCTCCCTGTATCATTATTTAAGTATGAAAAACAATATAGGTGTCTGTTTGGGCAGCAGATGAAACTCTACCAGTCCTTTGAAGTTCTCTCCAGAGTTATTGAGAGCTGTTAAAACTTTTCTCTTTATTGGATGATAAGGGAAAATAATATATTAGGAAGAGGGGAAGAGAGGGGCAGAGGAGAGAGAGAGAGAGAGAGAGAGAGAGAGAGAGAGGGAGAGAGAGAGAGAGAGAGAGGATACACTTAATTCAGTCCATTTCCATGAAAAATGAAAGGCAGTGCCTTTAGATGTTTTGAACGACTTTTTCTATAGACTTTATTCATACAGTATTAGGTGATGTGTTTGTGAGGAAGGCAGAAGAAACAAATGGCAGTATAGGAAATAAATGGTTTTGATCATCTAGAAATTAAGTAAATGAAGCCAATAGGAAAAGTAAATCATTAATATGTTAATATTTACTAGAATATTTTATCATAAATAAGTAGATTTTAATGACAAGAAGTTATTGCCCAAAAAGATGTTGCTAAGGAGATATAATTTTGTAATTCCCAGTATGCATATTGAAGAGATTAAAAACAATACACGTTTTGATGTTTTATGTGTGACTCCTCATATCCATATGCCTTCAAACTGATGAATGACAGCTTAGGAAGACATTCCCAGCTCATGTGCAGGTCTAGCCAGCCAGAAGAACAGGTAGGAAACTGGCTCAGGGAACTCGCCTGCTTCCTCTTTTTGGTCCCATAGACCCAATTTGCAGTTATCCCTTCCCTACCCACTGCCATTGTTCTGTGCCAGCCCCCACCTGGAGTGGACATCCCCTGCTCAAATGCAAGACTGAAGAATAGTTAGGAGAACTTAGATGGAAACTCTAGACTGTTCCAGAGGCCAGGCCAGCTGCTAGAACACCAGGTATGGCACCAGTGTGAACCTCCTCTACTCTTTTGTTGTACCCCAACACTATCTCAGTCCCACTTTCCCTCCTGGTGTGTCCCAGCACCCATCTCAGTCGGGGAACGCCTATTCGAAAAGAGGCCATGACAACTGCCAGAAGTTCATTCTCCAAGTTGAGTAGAGAACCCCTGCTCAACCACAAGTCACAGACTAGAGCACCAAAGAAGAAAACAAACCAAGAAACAAAACACCCATCCAAATTAACATAAAACCAAGCAAATTATTATTATAATTTTTTGTTTTTTTTCTCAGACAGGGTTTCTCTGTATTGTTTTGGAGGCTGTCCTGGAACTCACTCTGTAAACCAGGCAGGCCTCAAACTCACAGAAATCTGCCCGCCTCTGCTTCCTGAGTGCTGGGATTAAAAGTGTGCGCCACCATTGCCTGGCTACCCAAGCAATTTTTAAAAAAGAAAACTTTAAACAAGAGTAAATAAATGCAACAAAATGGAAAAACACAAAGAAGAAAAGAAAGAAATGAAGGAAGGAAGAAAAGAAAACGAAGAAGAATGAAAAAATGAAACCCAAGGAGTCCAATTTGTTTTGGCCAAGTATTTCTGGTCATGAGGCTTGGCTCTGGAGTGTGGTTTATATCTTCACTATGTGTCCTCTTTTTATTCAACCTTCAAGCACAATTTACTTGTGCTGAAATTTGTAGCCCTTCAGCAGAGTATGGTTCACCTACCAGAGGAAACATCCTTAGAGAAAACTAACTCTTCCTCCCCCAGCAGTTATCAATCACCACAGTATGGACTCACATAGGGTCTGTTATCTTGTCTATCCATGGGTTCTTGGCCCTATGTTGATGATAAATATAGTTTTTTTTCTTTTTCAGAGCAGGACTTAAATCCAATCAGACACTGGTTATTTATTTCCATGTTAAAAAGAACATCAAGCCATAAGGTCTGCACTCACATTATAATTTGATTAAGAAAGGAGACTTCACATAGAGTTCTGTGCATTTTTTATTTTTCAGTATAAACAGAGAAAATATGAACCAGAAGCTTATAAGACCATTTGGGAAACTGTCTAATTCTACTTCAAGGCTTTACACATTATCCCAAATTCCCTATATACAGGGCAAGAACTGTATAGAAAATATTGAGTTTATATTAGACACCCTTAGAAACATACAAAGTTTCAGGTTGAGTTTATCATTACTCAAAGCATAATCATTAAAACTTATTAATTTTAGAAAATATGCTAAATCCTATGACCTTATGGTATTGATATTCAAAGTATCAATAATTTCATATTATATTCATAAAATGATATGTTCTAAAAACTAGTAATTATATTTATATGTATAATTTTCTGTATTAGTTGCATTTGTCTTGCAACCTCAGAGTGTTCCTTTTTGAGGAAGTAAAACTTTAAAATGTTCAAAGACAAAAAAGGAATGACAGAAGGGAAGGATAAGGAAAAGGAACAACTGCTGAATAATAACTCAGTTTTTGACTAGAATTTTAAAAAGTTTTGAACAACGGAAACCTCACACCAAGGTGTTAAATTAACTAGACAATGTTAATCAAAAGATACTCTGAAACTTTCTAACATCTGATAATGACGTGGTATTAATGCACTGAAGCAATACTATTGATAGTATTGGAAAATTCCATGGAGGTAACTAGAGTCGACTGAACAGTTTTTAAATTTACATTGTCTTATTAAGGTTAGATAATTCAGATGACTAATTAACAAATTACTTTGGAATTACACTAATATATTGTTTAATATATAGCTAACGATTTAAAGACTAATACTTTATATGAACATTTTTATTTTTTGTATTTCACATTCATAAAATGATTTCAATGAATTTAATTAGTCAGCTGTAGATGTTGAAGATTTTTTTAAAGTGCTGTAAGTATTTACAACTTTCTTAACAGCATTTAAAACCTCCTTATTCCTCAGGCTGTAAATAAAAGGGTTTAACAAAGGAATTATTATTGTATAAAATATAGCCACTGGTATATCTTTATTCCCTTCTTCAAATGGTCGAATATACATGAGAAGGCAGATGTAGAATATTGACACAGAAAGAAAGTGGGACCCACAAGTAGAAAATGCTTTTCCTCTCCCATCCTTGGATTTCATCTTGAAAATAGTGAAAAGAATGCAAAAGTAAGAGACCAAGACAGTGGTAATCGTAAAGACTTGAATTGGCATTGAAACAATGTATATCATTAGTTCATTAATAAAAGGCTCTGTACAGGACAGTCTAAATAGTGGAAGAACATCACAGAAGAAGTGATCAATACGATTTGATTTACAGAAAGTTAAATTTAAGAGACAGCCTACATGAACCATAGAATTCAAGTTGCTGGCTATGAAGGTGGCTATACTCATCTGAATGGAGAGCTTCTTGGACATCATGGTGTGGTACTGCAGTGGGTTGCATATGGCCACGTAGCGGTCATAGGCCATTGCTGCCAGAAGGAAGCAGTCTGCAGTTTCAGCAAGACAGAGAAAATAGAACTGTGCCATGCATTCATAGAGAGAAATCCTTCTGTCCACAGAAAAGAAGTTCTGTAGCATCTTAGGAGTGATGGCACAGGAGCAGCAGGAATCCATGAGAGCCAGGTTGCCCAGGAAGATGTACATGGGTGTGTGAAGACGGCGTTCCATGTAGATCAAGGCCACCAGCCCCAGATTCCCCACCATGGTGACCAGATAGATAACAAAGAACACCAAGAATAGGAGGATCTTCAGGTCTGGGTGATCTGAGAATCCCACCAGGATGAACTCTGTTGTCAAGGAGTTATTCACCTTCTCCATTCTCATTTCTCTGCTGAGAAAAATTTATTAACAAGTTTGATATTATAGGCAGAATATGTCTAAATCTCCCTCTCTTGTTATAGTGAGCAGCTGAGAATCTCTTCAATTTATCTGAGCAGTCAATACCCTGAAATATGTCATGGTAGGATAAGTTATATGAGAAGAAATCACACATAGGTTGTGCATAGAAGTGCATATACACAGATTGTGCATATAAATATGAGTGTAGTCTTGAGGTTTCTGTTTAACTCCTAGATGGTTCACGTGGATTATTATGTATAAATTCATGGTTAGTGTGAGTGATTTTCTAGTTTTACATATTGAAAGAATCACTGTGTATCTTTCTTTTCAAAGAAAACTCTATAGCATCAATGTGATCTTTAAAAACAAATTTCCCTGTAAATATTTACTAACTAATTGATAAAAATGTCATAGAATAAGAGTTTGAAAACCATTTTTCTCTCTTAGTTGTTTATTCCAGTTGATATTATTGTGGGATGTTTTAAATGAAGGCTCATTTAACTTTGGATAAGATTGTGTAATATTAATTTTTTCTCTTAAAATTATTTCTCTACTGATTTTAACATATTTGGAATCCCACTCTATCTTGTTAGATGAATTTTCCCAACAATTGCCTCTACTCTTACTTATGCCTATATCCTCACATTTTCTGTGTAGTTTCCAGTGTTTATCACGTATTCTTTATTATGCATATTAGCTCACAGTATACACATTCATATGCAAATGTCAAATATCTGCTGCATACTCACCAATATTGTCAGAATGAAGCAATGTTTTCCATTCATTGAGTTCAATAGAGGTTTTATATTTATATGATTATTTAAACTTTAAATTATTTTCCTCCTAGTCCACATGTCAGAAATCAACAGCCACCCTACCTTGTTGGATTTTAGTTTGTTAAGTAGAACAATGAAATGTTTGAATCCAGAAACAACATATTTTTTGCTGTTATGAACACTTCATTTTCCTAGAAATTGCTACAATTCTTCTGTCTTTAATAACACTTAAGAGGATAATTTTTTAAGAACAGAATGCAATAGTTATTTTAATAGCATTGCTTTAAGACCACACTATAATTAACATTTCCTTGATTTTTATTGTTGTCTAGAAAGAGCTTAATACACTGTTTCCTTTTTCACTTCCATAACATGGAAATGTTTCCTGATGCTATTCACTAATGACTTATAAATAAATGAATAAAATACATTGCTGCTTATAATTTAAATATATAACACTATACTATCTCTCAAATTATGTTATTTTTTAAACTGCTTTTAGCCCTATAAAATGTTGCTTTTATCATCATAAACCAGCAGATCACAAAAGGTATATTCATATTATAAATGTAGCCATTGAAAATATATTTTAAAAATATTCTATCAGCACATATTATGTCAAAACAATTTTTCTCTCCAGGACTAAGCAAAAATTTTCAACCAAATCTGAAACAACTTTCCTAACCATCCTAGAATTATTTTTCAGAGTTGCAGAAAGCTTTTTTTTGCTGACAGAACTATGGTGCTTTGAGCTCAGAATGGACAGCATAACCTACCTACTGCTTCATTGTATCTTTTCAGTAGATCTTCAATTCAGAGACAAAGGAAACATAAGTGGATAAAATATAAACTAAATGCTGAAGTATTTTAGATATGCATCTCCATATTTAGAAATGAATTTGAAACACATCCACATACTGTGAACTCTCTACCCACCATCTATATAGCCAAACAGAGTCTCACCTGATGCATACAGAGGCCTTAAAGCATTGGGGAATAATTTATGGGAACCTAGGATACTCTCTATACTCAGGTCATTGGTAATTCTAAAGGGAGTGCCTTGGCATTGACATTAGGTATTTCTGCAGAGACTCTAGTTGGAGAGACTGGTTCCCCAAACACCATTAAACCGAACACCTTAATTAAAGGTAATGGAAATGAGACTTTGAGGTTAAATCTAATAGCCATCAATAAAATTGACTTTAACACCATCTTTATTGTTCACATATTTGATTACTTGTGCCTCATTCATCTTGCTTACACAGAATGATAATGTCAGATAAATAATCTGGATCATGTGGTGACAAACGAATTTGAAAAGAAATTTGGATTTCTGGATAAGACAACAAAACCTTTTCAAATCAATTGGAATCACATTCTTGTTTTTTCACAACCTACAGTAAACTTGACCACATCCAACAGATGCATTTTTGGTTTGTTTTTTGAGACAGGGTTTCTCTGTGAAGCTTTGTCAACCCAGCTGGCCCCAAATTCACAGAAATGTGCCTGCTTCTGCCTCCCAGTTGCTGGGATTAAAGGCATGCACCATACCATTTCCTTATTATCAAATTTCTACTATCGAACTGATTGAAGTCTATGGTATAAAAATTCTTAATTAGGTTTTATTTGTGTATTCTTCCAGTTACAGGATGGAATAGGAAGAGTACTATTCCATCTTATAATAATTTCCTTTTTACTTTACATATGACAAGCCTCTCATTATTTCAGATACTCTGAGTAATTCATGACTGTTATTTAAAATTATTAAAGGTATTTTAATTACATTAAATTCAAATTTTATAAAAAATTATTAAACAGAAAAAAGGCCCCTAGTCAAACATGGGATAGAGGAATCCTCAGTAACTACTGGGTTAATTAGAAACTTTATAAATAAATGAGAAATGTCTTCACAGTTATCCACATCAAGTATAAAATTATAAAGAGTAACATAGACTAAATATTAAAAAATAAAAATATCCATTGTACTGAGAGCAGTAAGAAGGACAGAAAAACAAGTTCTGTATGACTTCAGTTTGGGAATCCAGTGACATCACAGAAGCTGAGAGCAGAACTGTTGTTGCCAGAGCCTGGAGAGAAAGCAGTGAGACAGTGAGAGGTGAGTGAATAGTCAGCTGAACTGAGCAGCAAGGAGTTTGGAAGGTGAATGCAGGTAACAGTCATATCTTCTAGAGTTCTAAAACTGAAAGGATTTTGAAGGTTTTCACAACATGAAAGTGAGAAAAGCTCTGGCCAGAATGTAAGTTGAAAGGGAGCAAGTTGGATCCAGTGCAATCTAGGAGGTGTGGCCCATTTTCTTTCCAGAGCATCCAGGGAATGCTGTCAGGCAGTTCTTCATTGGGTGTGGGGGACTCAATTATAAATGTTAGCAGAGAAATGTTTGCTTATGTAAGTGTGTATACTGGGAAGGCAACCATGGAAAAATAACAATTATGAGAGGGTGTACACCTTGAAGGAAAAAGCCAAGAAAAGACAAGGACGGTCCCCAAATTCTTCTCTTACTCTGTATTACATCAATAAGCCAATTGATGTAATATATAAACTCTAAAGTTTACTTAAACAACGTGCTTGGATTTTAGAGAAGGAAAGCCAAATCCACCTCTAAATACAGGATTGATTTAATTGGATATGGACTAGGAAATAAAGAGAAATAGAGTTTTCCGAGGGACAGATGTAAAGGTAACCATATGGCACATTATTTTTGTTTGATGGTTATAACTACCTTCTCTTTTGTGTATCTACCCACGCAGTGTCCTTAGACTCGTGGAGATGAAGTTTCCTGTGGAGATAAATGGAAAACACTTCCCATTCCTTTGGGAGGTTTCTATTAAGTTTTTGAGATACATCTTAGTAGAATACCTGTCATTTTTCCTCGTCAAGAGGTTTTTCCATTTCAACTCGAGTCTTGATCAACTTTAATGGTATCCAAAGTTTTTCTTCTCCTGCATTGGTATCCCTGAAATTATTAAGAGTTGGTACAGTAAATGCAAATTTTTCTCTATCATTTTCTTGTAATGGTATTGAGAAAAAAACAGTCAGTCTTTCAGAGCAATGACTATGATCAGCCATCCTTTAGGTATCAAGGAAGGCAATCACATTCCAGGCTGCAGAGAGCCCATTGGTTGAATTACTTTATTTATAGCTCTCACAGCTGTCAGCATTCTCCAGTTACCTGACATTTTTTCTTTTTTTTATTCAGAGATTACTTTATTATTTTTGTAATCAAACCCACGTAGATAAGACCTTACATATTTAATAGAGTGTGTTACCCCTGTACAAATGGAAAAAAAAATAAGTTCAACATTTCAAGACCAATATGGCTGTTAATTTCTGTGCAATGCCAACTCAACACAGTAAACTGGAATACTTTTTTTCCAAAGTTGACAGCACAGCTAAAGTTTCCACCAGCAACAGCTTTTCCAGGATCTGCAGTCATTCTAACAAAATTTTAGAGACATCCAGCACACTCCATTTAAAAAAAAAAAACGAAAAAAAGTAAAAAAACTAAGCTCAGAAAACAGCACAGTTCTGTTACTCTTGTGGTACCTGGCATCATTTTTTTAAAAATTAGCTTCTCAGTCATCATCTAGAAGGAAACCATTCTGAGTAACATCATTAAAAACAGCTATGATAAAGCACGGTCACTACTATGTATCATAAAGCAGATCCGCATATGAGTGAGTCCATATCATGTTTGTCTTTTTGTGATTGTGTTACCTCGCTCAGAATGGTTTCTTCGAGTTCCATCCATTCACCTGCAAATTTCAAGATTCCATTGTTTTTTTTCTGCTGAGTAGTACTCCATTGTGCAAATGTATCTCATTTTTTTCTATCCATTCTTCAGTTGAGGGGCGTCTAGGCTGCTTCCAGTTTCTGGCTATTTAAATAATGCTGCTATGAACGTGATTGAACAGATGTCCTTGTTATATGAATGTGCTTCTTTTGGGAATATGCCTAGGAGTGGAATTGCTGGATCTTGTGGTAGACTCATTCTCATTTTCTTGAGGAGTCTCCATACTGATTTCCAAAGTGGTTGTACAAGTTGGCACTCCAAGTTGGGACTCCCACCAGAAGGGGAGGAGTGTTCCTCTTTCTCTGCATCCTCTCCAGCATAAACTGTCATTGGTATTTTTTATTTTATCCATTCTGACAGGAGTAAGATGGTATCTCAGAGTTGTTTTGATTTGCATT